GGCACAGAGAGAAAGAGCCCCATTGGTCCAAGGGAAAATCCTTTGGCTGCTACTTTTGACTTCTGCCTGTTGGTCCCAGCCCTAAAGTTAACTTGTGCAGGACAATTAACCCCTGCCTACCCAGAAAGGAAAAAAAGTAAGCTTGGCCTGACAGACAAATCATATGAACAATCTGTAAAACCCCAACATAAAAAGACGCAACTATTTCAGGAATTATACTATGCATAAGCCAATACGTCACTGAATTGCAGAGACAAAAATAGTAAACAATCTTTCTCCTACTAACTTCCCAATATCTATCTGCGCACCTCTACAGTGGTGACTAGGGGAGGGGCCTGAAAGACTGGACACTCCAACCCAGTACTGGAGGCTTCTAAGGTGCACACACACAATTTTATTTTTGTTTCAAAATGCAGGTTCTTGTCTCTGCTTTTATATTGCTTCCACTTTTGGGCCTTTTAATCACACATATTTCTTGGAGGTGGGAGCTTTTTCTCCCTACATTACCCAAGAGGAAACAGCAATCGTGACCATATAGCCAGACTACAAGCATACCCCATAATATTCTACCATTGATACAAGAGCCAATAACAGCTGCTAAACATTACATGTGAAAAGGGAAGCCTATCTCCTGATCATATCCACCAGGAGACACCCAGTAAGCTTAATAACACAATAAACTTCCATTTTAGCATGAAAAAAATCCACATAATTACTGGAAATGACACACAAACAATCTCAAATACAACAATCTCAAAACATGTCCAAAACCAGAAAAGAATAGCTGAGACAAATGTGCTGGAGACAGACAAAGGCTCCCCAGAAGAGGAAGAGCAGGTTTTGGATTTGCCTGAGAAAGAAACAGGAGAATGATAGGGAAACAAATTCAACTGTTCCAAAAAGGGATGGAGGAAAACAAGGAAGAAAAGTACTACAAGAGGAATCAAACAAGATTGATACAGCATTGGAAACAATTCAAAACCTGCAAAAATGGTCCAGATGATTAATAATAAAATATCAGAAATGAACAATACACTGAAAGGGGAAAGGAGCGGAATAGAAGAGATAGAAGCCAAAACTAGCGAGCTGGAAGACAAATCTCGCAATACGCTAAGATAGAAGAACAAGCTGAAAAAAGAATAAAAAAATCTGAAGAGAGTCTAAGATTCGTGCTGGTTAACATGAGGAGGAACAACTTAAATATTATTGGCATTCTGGAATAGGAAGAATCAGAGAAGTCCATAGAGGAGATAGCTGAAGAGCTTCTGAAGAACATTTCCCTAACATCTTGAAAAATGAGAAGATAAACATTCAAGAAGCCGAACGTACTCCAGGAAGGATAGACCCCAAAAGAAAAGTCACCAAGACATGTAATAATCAAGCTCTCCAAAATCAAAGACAAGGAGAAAATACTAAAAGTGGCCAGAGAGAAGAGAAGTGTCACTTATAAAGGCATGCAAATCAGATTAAGCTCTGACTATTCAGAACACACCATGCAGGCAAGAAGGCAATTGGGAGACATATACAAAGCCCTAAAAGAAAAAAACCTGCCAACCAAGAA